ACCGTAACCTACGTTCGTTCTTACCTACCTTACGTAACGTTACGGTTTAACGTTTAACGTTAGTACGATTTACGTTACGTTCGTTTTACGTTTTACGTTCGTCTCTCTCTCTCTCTGTGTGTGTGTGTGTGTGTGTGTGTGTGTGTGTGTGTGTGTGTGTGTGTGTGTGCGTCTGTGCGTGCGTGCGCGTGTGTAGTGGTGGATTTAGGGGGGGGGGGGTCTAGCCAACCCCCTCTGTTGGACTAACAATATTATTAAACATATACCAATTAATTACTGCCAAGTATAATAGTCGCGCAGCTGCACAAAACGGCACCTGATGCATGGATTAAATTATGTAATTGAGTGGCAAAGCAGGCTACAACCCTTTTGCAGGTTTTTCACAATTCCAAGAAAGAGTTTTACTGTCGCCCTCAGGCTCATCCCAGCGGTGGTCACTCCCTACATATTCAATGAACGCGACTTAAACAATACCCCACCCCCCTGTACATCAATCAATGCCGCGCTGCAACCGCAAGTTAAGATCACATGACTCGCTTGACCTCCTGCTATTGGTCGGTTACATAGAGACAGTGTGGAACTTTACACAGCCACTCCGCACACGCTGTTCAATCTTCCACACGTGGAAGAAAATATCAAACACGTGTGATATTTTCCACACGCCACAGATCGACGCATTTTGCATGTGCACACGCTGTGGAACGCGCTGCGCCACACTTCAGTTACTCGCTCGTTCAAATTATATTCCTATATTCCTAAATTTAACTTGTGTAAAAAAATTATATTCCTGCCTACCCATGTTTTTGCAGGAAAAAATAAAAAATAAATAAATGTTATGCCTACCGACCTACCCTAATTTTCACAATCCATGTGACCCAAACCAGGTATCCCCAAAAAGGTATTTTTTTGTTTGGCCTTACTGTCAGTGACGCTCATAGGGTCTATGTCCCCCAGGGTACTGCCGGAACGTACCCTGGGTATGGTCCGGTATACCGGAACGTACCCTGGTCACTATTTGATATGGTTAGGGTTAGGATTAGGGTTAGGGTTAGGGTTAGGTTTAGGGAGTAGGCGTAGGCGCCTCCCTAGACTCGTTAGTGGAGTAGGCGAGGTACGGTCCGGCATATTAGATAGTTACAGTACCAGGGTACGTTCCGTATTTAGTTAGCATTAATGCCATTATATTTTATTGAAACGCTTCAAGTGCCTGTGCTAGAGGCTAGAGCTAGTTCCGGCAGTACCCGTGGGGACATAAACCCTCTCAGCGTCAGTGACACCTCGTTATGTGATAGATGTAAACACTTGTTTGTTAAGTCGCTACTGGGATCATCTACAATAAAATCAGTGACATATGGCATACCTGTTGTTGGACTTGTAGTTGCGGCCCCCTCTCTGATGATTTTGACTTATCATGTGCCGGTGAAATTTGAGTAACAGTTTCTATAGCTGGAACTAATTCGAACGCTCTTATACTCATGGTGCTGACAGTCTAATGTTTATTATCAGGAGTAGTATAACGTTTTCCCTCTCTCTAAAATCCAATCGGAAAACGCCTACAAATTCTATTAATAAATATTATACTGCAGCAACAACAGAATCACAGGGCGCTGACATCTTTCGAAAGTAGATCTACCGCCAGGTGGCGGTTATAAACATAACCTCTCGTAATTTGGGTGTTGCTATCCCCCGGGCGTGGAGAGAAGGTCACGTGATACCGTTGACGTATACTTCAAAATCATTAGTCATCCGATAACGCTAACTCCAATACTTCCAACGCTAACCATAACACTAAACATATATATCTCGGAGCGCTATATATAGGTCAAAAAATCCACAAAAATTAATCTATGGTGTGGGGGCAGATATCATGATGCAAAAACCCTAACCCTAATCCTAACCCTAACCCAATCCCTAACCCTAACCCTAACCCTAATCCTAATCCTAACCCTAACCCTAACTCTAACCCTGACCCTAACCCTAATCCTAACACTATCCTAACACTAGTGCAGCCACGTTGCGGTAACCTCCCTCCACGCCCGGGGGATAGCATTACCCTCGTAATTTTCTGTAGCCATATTATGTCGGTACCACTGGTACTACTATCATAGACTAAAAATTGGTTCTTAGTCTGGCTAGCGTATGTGTGTGTGTGTGTGTGTGTGTGTGTGTGTGTGTGTGTGTGTGCGTGCGTGCGTGCAAGCGTGCTTGCGTGCGCGCACGCTCGTGTATGTGTGCGTGTGCGTGCGCGTGTGCGTGTGCGTGCGCGTGAGCGTGCGTGAGCGAGTGTATGTCCTTTATCTCTTTTTTATTTTTTCTGTGTTATTTACTGAGGGTACATTGGTTATGGACATATCAACATAGAGTGAAACAGAGTTTAGATATTAACAGAGTTTTTTGGCACCTCACCATCAGTGGCATAAATAATAACAAGAACGCGATACACAACAAGTGACACGTGCAAGGGCGTCAACAGGCGAGGGACAGGGGAGACATGCCCCCCCCCTAATTTCAAAAGTGGGGGGGACATCATATCATTTGTCCCCCCCCCACTTTTTTGAGATCTGGGATTTTATCAGATCAGAAGACCATCATAGGCAGATTTTTGGCAAGTTCTGAGGTAAGAATTTTCCTTATTACAAAGTTAAGAGTTACTTACAGAGAAAAGTTTTTTTTTCAAAAATGAGAGTAATCTTGAAAAGGTGTATGCTTTAAAAGAATGAATGAGTATGGTTGGAAAATGCCTCAGATCACACCACAGAGCGTCTAAAGTAAATTTCTGTATTTTCTGTATAAACTACTAATTTTGCAGCATCATAAACTTTGCTGGATGTTTACTCTACAATGCATTAAAATGCATAAAAATGAAAAAGTCTTTACCCTCCCCCCGCTCGGTTGCTCTGCTCCCTCAAAATGTCCCCCCTCCCACACTTTTGAGAAGCTGTTGACGCCCTTGGACACGTGACAACACCAGGGACAGCTAAAGTGCCCCAAAGGCATGTTCTATAGATTTCAAATGTTTGCTTACTTACCTAAAACACAATATGAATTTAAGACTTTGCAAAGTTCCACCAAGCAACTGATATAGGCAACTGACATATACATACAGGAACAACTGTTCAACAACATGCATCCTAAAACATATTCACACTGAGATGCTAATCTATACTATAGATTAATCAGAATTTCTTACTGAGAAAGACAGTACCATAGTTTACGAGCAATATATGCGTACAGCACACGGAAATCAAACAAGGCAAGTGATAGACTGGTGAACAGTGATAAATATATGCATAATAGAACCATTAATGCAACTAAAATGCACAGAAATATATAAAAATATGTCACAAAAGTGCCACAAGTAAAACAAATTGCAATTTGACATTGTGAGAAAAAAATGCAGTAGTAGCTGAGCTCACAGTGCATATTATATATATATGTAACTTTGAATGAGCCTTTCAATAAACGCAAGATCAAGTTATGTGTTAAAATAAAGTGATTTTATGTTATCAATATTTCCGGTCTGTGGCCTACATCGGTGATATAGAGTTCGTGACAGTAACTTGGGTTGGGGTGGAGTACATATAGTAATTAAACTAGTGATATTTGGAACTGTATGCCCACCACTACACTTGTGTGCAACTTCATATAATTAATTTAAAACGCCCTGATTTCGACAAAGGAAGGTTTGCACTATAGCCACGGGTTGTAGGCAATATGATGGAAATTGTAAACACCTGCAATACTTGTATTTGTCATATTTTTTTGCATTAATCATGACTATATATAGTTATTTGGCTTCAGATTTTATACGCGTACGTGATTGTTTTGTTGTGTTGTAATGGTCCTTGACGGGCTAGGTATCGTACGTGTAGCTGCTATATGCTCGAAAGCATTGCAGGGGTGCCATATGATAATATAGTCATCCTTATTCTTAATAAGAAACGGTGCAACATTCGTTTACCTTATAACCTCATAAATATTAGTATTTAACGTCCAAGAGATTATATAGAAGACAGAAAAAGACAATTAAAGTTGATCAACTAGACAGATTAACACTGCAGATCGCATTAGAAAAAGCATCGAATTTGAAATTAACTAAATAAGAAGAGAAAAAATTAAGGAATCAAATACGGAATAACAGAAACAAAGAATTTAAAGCTACACTTAAAGTGATCCTTTGAAGATGGCACGTGTCGAAAGCAATGATCCTGCTCAGATGATTGAGTGTTATGAACAGACTTCACCAAGCAAAAGTGAATACCAATCTTCATCTGAGTCTCAAAATTTTTATGAAAGGTTAATTAAGTTTAGCATGGAGAATGTGGAATCGAAGAGGATGCCAATCAAGTTGAGCCAAAACAACCTCAGAACTATTATTATTATTATTATTATTATTATTATTAAATCTTTATTACATGTACAATAAGCCAGTTCGTAGTTAGCCAAGGAGTTGTGTCACGTCACAGGTCACCGGGTCATTTGTGACAAAAATCGATTAAAACTCGAGTGTGGCGTGCGCTCTCGGTTCAGTACGTATATGTACATGTATTTTGTGTACGTGTACACGCACGCATGTGTACGTGCACACACACGCATGTGTACGTGCACACACACGCACGCACGCACGCACGTCTACGTGCACACGAAAAGACTGTAGCATTACAACGACACAGATGCATGCGTATGTGTACTGTACGGTCGAAATACGAAATATTTTGTCACAAATGACCTGACCCGGAAGAATTCGTGGCAAAGTTTGCGCATGCTCCAACTGTAACTACGAACTGACTTATTCAAATACAAATACATGTAGGCCTACTGAAGACAGTTTTTCACAGAGAAAAAATCTGATAGATGCAATAGTGTAGAGTAGTTAAAATAATAGAATTTCTGAGTGATACAGCACAAAATAGTGCTATACAATATGAAGAAAAAAATATCTACAAAAACGACTACATTCTATCATTGATCACTCAACAAACATGTTTCGATGCGGGATAATCACAGGAAATACCATCACAACGGAAAAGGGATGGGATACCAGTTTCCCGTTTTTTTACATTCATTAATCTTTTAAATGGTTAAGCATCACCATCAGAAAGTTGACAGTGTCACAGACAAGGCCATTTAGAAAAGGCAGTAGATATTTAACCGTATACGGCAGAGTATCCACTTCCGCTATTTTATTGTACACTACATTTGATTGGCTAGTATATTTATGACGTCATCAACATTACGTTTGAATCCCATAAGGTTTAGCTATCTAGAAAACTTTTAGGTTCAAATCCCGTTTATTTCTACACCTTTGTAGCCCCGTTTGATTATAGAAGCTATTTTCCGTGAATCACTATTCCAATACGAAACCTCATGAACACATTCATAATATATAAACATACATATATACCCATACATAAATATACTAGCCAATCAGAAGTACTGTACGGTAAAATAGCGGAAGTGGATACTCTGCGTTTAGAAAATCTCGATGGAGCTTCATCATCCAATCCGCATGGACGGAGATTCATCAATCAAAACTGTTTCACATGTCATCCAATCGACTTCCAACTCATTTGTTATGACTTTGTTATTATTAGGTTATCTCCCTAGCTGGAAGAAATCTGCAAAAGAATGTGTAGGAAAAGGGTGAAATAGCTTATTGGATATCCCTCGGGTTTGAATTATGGGAAGCATGCCATAACGGCAGACATCGACCAACATATTGGGACGGGGGTGTCTATATTCATGCCGGTACGGGAAATTACGGTACGCATATATTTGCTAATATATTGACTAATCGTCCGTCAATAAACTCAATATTCACAGAGAGTATAGCTAAGACACGTGTCTATAGGTATCTATAATTATAGAAATTTAATCATCTGTAATTCACTTCCGCGCGCATATATTTGGCATTTGCTAATATATTGACTAATCGTGCGTCAATAAACTCAATATTCACAGATTCAAGCCGGTACGGGAGACAATTTGCATAATATATTCTAGATACCTATAGACACATGTCTTAGCTATACTCTCTGTGAATATTGTGTTTATTGACGCACGATTAGTCAATATATTAGCAAATGTATGCGTACCATAATCTCCGTACCGGCTTGAATATAAACACCCCCTATTGGAACGGGTGTTGCTATCCCCCGGGCGTGGAGTGCTACCGCAACGTGAATTACTACAATTTAATATGAAGAAGACAAATATATTGGAAATAAAATTTGGAGGACCAAGCAGCAAAGGAAAACAGATTCCTCTCGGAGATCAAATGATAAAAGGATGTAGGGAATATACATACTTAGGCGAGATTTTTTACGTGAAAAAGGAGGATATAAAGAAATGATAAAACACAGAACAAATAAAGGTCGATTTATGATGAGTGAAGTCATAAATATGGCTAATCAACAAAATTTTGGAAATTATGCAATGGAAGCACGGGTTAAACTTTACGAATGCACTGTAGTGCTGTCACTACTAAATAATAGCGAAACTTGGACCAATCTCACTAAAGAAGAGGAAAAAATGGTAGAGAATTTCCAAAATGAATGTTTAAGAAGAATACTCCAAGCACACAGCAAAACCCCACTAGAGGCTCTAAGAATAGAAATGGGAATAATTCCAATAAAAGATAGAATAAGTTATAAAAAGTTAATGTTATTGCAATATATTATTAAGTTAGAAAACGATAGATTAATGAAAAGAGTATTTTTAGGACAAATTAAAGAAATTGGAAGTAATTTGGCAAATGAGGTTTTAGAAATCTTGAAGAGTATCGACATAAGTATGTCACTTTATGACTATTGGTTCGTAACATAAGAAAGAATGAAAAAATATGTGAAAAGGAGACTAATTTTATAAAACAGTAATATGAAGATTACAATAGGTCTGCGTGAGAAACAACAAATGAAATGATTAAATATCGAAAGCTATGTATTGAAGCCATATATGAAAAAACTGTCATTTGATGATGCATGCCTTGTGTTTAGGTTTAAGACGTGCATGATTTAACTTTAAAAAGTTGTATATTTAAAATAACTACAGTAACGAAAGTATGATTTGTGTGACGGACAAAGAAAAAGAAATTTGGAACGATTTATACTCGTGTAATTACATATGAGGAGTATAATAAAGGGGGAATCGGGTAGAAGATTGGAAGTGGATGACCCAAAAATATAAACCAGCACTAGAAATATGTTAGAAAGGTCATTATCAATTATAGATTAATTAATTATGAACGTGTGTAGACAGAACTTTCTATATCTACAGGATTTCCCGCACATTCAAGAGAATCATGTGCTTTGTTGAAATACAGAAGACGGACCACCAGAGATTACAAGATACAGATACAACGTGTGGCAGCTAGTATTAGGTTAATATTATTAGTATTAGTATTTAGTATTAATTTAGTATTAGTATTAGGTTAGGGTTAGGTTAGCGGTTCAAAGTCAGGGTTTTCCGTGCACGTTAGGGTTAGGGTCCAGGTCAGGGTTAGGTTAGGGTTTAGGGCAATGGCGGATTAAGGCTCACTGTGCCCTAAACACTGCCAATCTTGTGCCCCCCTCCTTTCCACGGACTCAGTCATTTTTAGTTGTGACCTGCTGCAGATATACAATGCAGGTTGCAGGCAAGTACACAATATTTATGTAGGATTTCAGAGAGGGTGTGATCCAACAGGCGGGGGGTATGGGTCCTCCCCCAGAAATTTTCCAAATGTAGATCGCTCGGAGATGGTATTTTGAGCGCCTTTTGAGCGTACATGCAGGTACCACTTCATTCTGTACGTAAGCATCTATTTTGGGTTTTTTACACGTTTTAAGTTGTGAGAAAGACTCTCTGTTTGTGCACGTTTGGTGACCATTTAATGTTAAAAATATTCTTAAGGCAATTTCACATTTGGGAAAGGCATGCTACTCTCTAGTTTTGTCATTCTGTAATTGTGTTTTGGAAAGTTCATAGTGGTATGAAGATGTTTCTTTGGTTGTTGTTAACTATGAAGACATGATGAATGGAACTGCTGAAAGCTCTGGTAGACAAAGTGTTTTGTTCATATCATCTGGATAAGCATCATATGAGTGTCTGAGCAGATCTTTGAGTACTTTCACTTTTGATAATTTGGGAATATAGCACCTGTTGGGTGGAATTAAGGGCCCTTGTGTATTGTATTTGTATTGTTGGGGGGCCCCTTGTGGTACACCTGGGAAGTACAAATCTTTTTTCTTTTTTTTGTCTTTTCACCCTTTTCCCAACTTTGTGGTGCCCCCTTTGGCCCTGGTGCCCTAAGCACCAATGCCGTGCTTAGTCTGCTTAATGGTTATTCCGGCACTGGGTTAGGGTTAGGGGCAGCGTTAGAGTTTTTGCACCATGATATCTGTACCCACACCATAGATTATTTTTGTGGATCACACCCCTTATATATAGCGATGAGATATATAGGTATTTAGTGTTAGGGTTAGTGTTGTAGGTGTTGGAGTCAGCGTTACCGTTACTGTTAAGTTTTGAAGTATACGTCAACTGTATCACGTGACTCTCACTCCACGCCCGGGGGATAGCAACACCCTATTGAGGTTAGACGGGTACTCGCTCCCACCTCGATTATTCGATGGTGATACCAGAGCACTTATATCAACTACTTTATATAAGTATTTTATTTAAATGCAAAGTATTTAATTTAAGTTGATTTATATGCTCTGGTGATACTAAGCCGATAGGTGGGACCGGGTACCAGTCTATATTGGGGTGGGCAAAATTGGATGCTCATGTGTTATGTTGCACTATATTTATATATTAATTCGCTTAACTCCTGTTCCATTGCATTTGTGAGCAATTCAAATGATAATAACTACAAGAGTGTTTATCATTTATGCAGCAAATTTTGAATATTTAATAATATAATGGTAATGGTTAGTGTAATTCAAAGTAATTCAAAACTGGTGACCTATTTCGTGGTTGCGCATAATATGCGTGCTAGCTGTGTTAAACGGCATGTAGCAAAAACAGAGAAAGTACCGATTTGCAGAGGAGAGAGATGCAATGAGTTAATTTGTAGTGTTTCGTGTTAGTACATGAATCTAGCTACTTCCAATAAGATGGCAGGGAAGACTTGCTGCTCTGGTCGACGCATTTTAATAGGAATTTGTGTCGTTCAGCTGGTAAGTACGCAAAGCATAAAGTCCTACTCTAATCTGGGCCCAAGTTGATTCCGTGAACCATGGCATAGCCATAGATAGGCATAGTCTTGGACATAGTGACATTAGTCATTAGTGTGTAGGCCTATCATTCGCAAAAGGTTGAAAGCTTGTTTCGTCGCTCACATACGTCTGACAGACGTCACAGTTTCGGCTGTACAAAATTTAATTAATTTTGTTTTTAATAGGGTTAGTGTTATTTTTTAGAGTTAGGATTAGGGTTAGGGTTAGGGTCATAATGCACCTTAAAACAGGAGTTTGAGTTCGTATGGACGTGACGTCACTCACTCATGAACGAGCGACGAAGCAAGCTTTCAACCTCTTGCGTATCATTCGTTGATCAGCAGTTATTCTCTAATCACTAATGACAGTAATGTTGAATTTACACTAACAGTAACAGTTTTTAAAAATTACTTTGAAATAGTGACGAGCGCTTCTCTTGTTTCAATGTTTGCTAGATTCACTCCTATTGCTGTTGTCATTGGAACATGTGTTGGTCTTTGAACTTCAGGGTGCAAATCCACTTTAGGCACCTTAGGTATCATGAAGTGATGTACAGAATTCTGTGTATCATCAACTGATGCACAGACTTTCCGTATATCAAGGAATGATGCAAAAACCCTAACCCTAACCCCGAAGTGTGTTAGGGTTAGGGTTTTTGCATCATTCCTTGATATACGGAAAGTCTGTGCATCCGTTGATGATACACAGAAATCTGTGCATCACTTCGTGATACCTAAGCCTAAGGTGCTTAAAGGCTAAAGTGGATTTATGTCGAACTTCAGTGCCGTTCATACATGATACAGCATAAGCGAACTGAAACTACATTGATTACCACACCGGTTCAAGGATAGAGATGATGTCCAGTACGGTGATTGGATAGGATGATGTTAGTTGATAAGATAGGACTTGACATCTTCTCTATCCCTGAGCCATTCCAGTTTTGATCTATAATATAGGTTATGTAATACATTCTGTAAGAACAGTGTAGTGCCATTTATTAGTGTGGTGGGTAAATATACTAGTATTTATTACTTATTATTGCCTTGGATATAATCCTATCCCAATTAAGTCAAGCTTACTTTTGAGATTCCAATTCCTACATGGTGGGCTTTAATAAGATCATATGGCATGCATAATGTGTAAAAAAAATGGCCCAAGGATATAAGAGCTGTCCACATTTGCGAAAAATGCATTGTGGTCAGTGCTTACATCCATGAACCAAAAAAACTTACAGGGATCAAAATAGGGGTGTCTGTAGAGCATAGTAACATGCACTGATACCAGGCCCGTAGCCAGGGGGGGTTCGGGGGTTTGCACGCCCCCCCCCCCGCTCGAGCCAAAAAAAAGAGCAAAATTTGCAATAATTTTACCTCAAGTATGCACCAGATCGCTCCATTTTAGTGTAATAATTGCAAAATCTCCAACGTGTGGGAGGGGGGACGACCCCCCCCCCACACACACACACCCTCCCCCGGCTCGGTCGCTATGCTCCCTCGCTCGGTCGCTTCCCGCCCTCACAAATTGCCAACATTTAAAAACGAACCCCTCCCCCCCCCAATATAAAGCTGGCTACGGGCCTGCTGGTACTATACACCCAATTATGAAGGTTTTAGTCCTTGTATGCTATCTGCATAGTAATCATTCATGCATGCAAGATTTGTGAGCCATCATGTAAAAGTAGTGGCGACATAATCTAGCCTGTGTGCTGAATATCAAAAAGCGAACATCTAGAAGCTATATAAGCATAGCCAATCTCTTCGTTATCAGCCATTCCACCTAGCCCGACGAGGCTGTGCGACTGATTGTCAATACAGCCTGACACCCTTCCATACAAAAAACCTATCACCTCTGCAGATCTAGATGAATAACTCTGTATATCTCAAATAAAACTATTCTATTGCCATCTTTGACTTGCCTTGTTTGAAATATGAATGTTAACTCACAGTTGTCCTGCTTCTAAACTAGAATAGCGTGTAGATGCGTATATTGTGGCTTTAACAAATGTTAGGGTAATCAGAATTTTGAAGACTAAAATGTTATGATCTGTGAAGAAAAAGTTAATACTTAGTTACTGTGGTCCCGTATGGCTGCTGTTTCCATGATCTCAATAATAGTGTGAACATAGATATGCTCAGTGTTCGAAATTCACGTCGGCCCGCCGCCGACAGTTTCGATGCTGGGCCTACAGCTTCTTGATAAAACAGGCCTGCTGATCCTACAGCTATTTGATCACCGAAAATTCGAAACACTGAGAAACTGTTACCTGTAGAAATACACTAACCCTAACCCTACCACTAACTCTAAACCGACTCGGCTATCTTACGCATGTTAATAATTAATCTATGGTGTATAACCATTTGCTTTTAATATTTTGCATCTGAACTGACAATCAATCCCAATCAACTGGTGTAGGCTAGCTAGCACAATAATGTTCATTTTCATACTTAAAATCCAAATGTTTTCTAGCTCATCAAGAAATCTTAATTGTGAATTAAATCGTGAATTAATTTCCAACGGCATTATTACGGGGCAGGTAACCCAGTCTAACACGAGGTAGAGTAGACTGGTACACTTACCGACCACTCCTGCCATTGTATTTTTTGTACATAACACTAGGGGTAGAGCCCACAATAACAAAATACAAACAGTGGACATAGCCAAACGCAAATGGTAAGTCAGATCCAGAACAGTATTGTAAAGCTGTCGATAGTAAAACTACATAATACAAATGAGTAAAATGATATAAGAAGATTTACAGTACCAGTATAGTTGGTATGTATATATGCAGTGTTGGAAATAAGACAAAAATTCCATCCGGTCCTGATTAAAAAATTTCTAAATCCGCAATATAAGCTACAGTAATTTTCTTGAAAATTAGCCAGTCCTGCTCCAAAAGTAGCCAGCCCCGCTGAAAAGTTACCAGTTAGGGACTATGGGACCAGCTGCTATTTCCAACACTGGTATATGTCAGGTTTTCTGATTTATGAGAGGTGAACTCGATTTGGAACCAGCAAACCAGCAAGTTCACTCCTACATTTTGGTATTTTTATTCCATTATTATTTTGAATTTTCCGATGGCTTTGCCCATGCAAAACAAACATTTTCACCCCACATGCAGTGCTTCAAATTTACACACAGAGTGTCCCAGACTGCATCTCAGAGCTTCTACAATTAAAAAATTTTTGGGGGGGAGCATGCCAAGCCCCCTCTAGCACTGAGCAGCACGGCCAGCTCCCGGCTATAATGAAAAAGCTTGGAGAACCCTGGGGATTATGATTATGGACATTGATAATGACTAATAAACACAAGGAAGAACATGATATGCTGTTTTATTACTGTAATTTGCTCCAAAATTGGTGGGCCTACAGCTTTGCTGCGGGCCTGCAGCTTTTAGGAGCTATAGGCCCTGCAGGCCTACAGCTTTTTCTGCTCAGTTGTAAACACTGGATATGCTCTTAATTAATAAAATTGAAAATAATCATGCTATACATCTACCTCGTGTCCCTGAAATTATGTGACTTTGTTTTGCTATCTCTACTTTCTAAGGCTTATCATCACGAAAATTTGAAAGTTCACAAGTCAACATGTTTCATACATGTCAACCTATACGGAATGTCCGTAAGTTTTACGGTTTTTCACCCATTTAAATTTCTTACGGGCGTACATACCAGATACCAGATTTTCAAAATACCAGATTTTCACCGCTCATTATCTTAGCGTATGGGCATCGTAGGGACATGCGGTTTGTTTTATATGAACAAGGTAGGATAGCTGATCAATAATACTGCAAAGAATCGTCAAAATAACACGGGGAAAGTTTATTAATTCGACTAATACTGCAACATGGTTTCAGCATTTTACCGTTGTACGCTCTCCTTCTTTATATGCTCTTGATTTTATGGATTTTTCCAGAAGGTTATACAGGTGGGCATCCGAAGGGGTTGACATGTATGATGTTTGGTGTTATACACTATACAAGTTTCTTTGTTTTTTTGTCGATATATGGTGTGTTGTACTCCTAAGTTATATGCAACGAGCAACTATCTAATCTAATAGAACCTTTTTAGAATATAGAAAATATAGCTAGATAATTCCTGGGTGCTCTGACATTTTACAGACTAAGTTACTTAGAGATAGGTTTAAATTAAAGGATTTTTTTATTTCTCATCCTCGTTCCTATTTGTCATTATATGAGTTTTCGTGTAGCATTGGTACTTGTTATTGATTTATATTGTTGATTTTATTTACAAAAAGAAAAGAATAAATGATTGCATTTAGGCTTTCAATTTTTCACAGTAACAGAGGTCCAGTTAGCGCTGTTTCGTTCCATGCAGTATTGATTCTCTATGCACGGGCACGCCGGGTTGCTCTGCGCGCGTCCTGTGCCTTGCTTTGTGGGCTCGTGCAATGCTTAGTGCTGCTGTAAAGTTGGAAGGGTGGAGGCTTCAGTCTGTTGATTTGCCTAGTGTTGAGTGAAATTCGTGTTGGCAGTTGTAGGATTTCTGCTAAGGGCACTGAATGTATAAATAATTGCTTATGCCATCGACTCTTGGAGGCAAACTCGTACACTACTTGTGTATGCACTCCATTGAGAAATGGTTTAGTAATAGCATAAATATATATGGGCTTCATTGCTCAGTAGTAAAGTCTCGTGTTTACTGGCTTTATTTAAATTTCATTTTATGAGACGACCATGTTGCTGTTATAATATCTGCTCATGTAACATAATCCGTCCATGAAAAATAACACTAAATAGGTTTTGAAAGGTTAATGCCAAACCAGGAGTCTCACAAAAGTGCCCTGAAGCCATACTATATTTTGTGCTAGTTTCTGCTTACTCTGCATCCTTCCCTGGGTTACCTCTTCTGTCCCTCCATGTGTTACGACTCTACATACATCCCAGATTTAATATAATACTCAGTCTATGACTCTATAACTATCCCAGAGATAGCTCCTGTATCTTTGCCTTGGTTAGTTACAGGTTTGGCGACGAGCTTCTGCAAATAGTGTTGTTATGAATGTGGTAAGCATTAGGAAGTGTGAGTATAGTGCGTCTGCGTGCGTATGTAGTAGCGAAAGTTAGTCAGCAAGCAGCACAGTATTCGAGAGGGTGGTATCATTGAAGCCATCTGCTTTCCATGAAACCTTCTCTGATGTGTTTATCTGCTGGCTCCTCCATACACTCACACTTTGGCAACAATCATTGGGTGTGCAAAACCATTTTGACTCGCAAATTGACGATGTTTACCTTATACTGAAACATACTCTAACCCTTTCATTTCGGCTAAGGGTGTAGGGCAGAGCAGAGTTGACTTGCATATTTTTCTAATATAAGCATACTTGTATGTGTTGCTGGGTGGGCAGCAACGTATAATATGAGGTGTTTTTTATAATGATGTGTTTTTCATTTTCCGTGTGTTTACCGTGTAGGTTGCGACACTGGAGCGGCAAGTTTTCGACTTCCTGGGTTACATGTGGATGCCGATCGTTGCCAACTTCTTCCAAATAATGCTAGTGATCTTTGGTCTGTTCGGTACATTTCAGTATCGACCGAAGTACCTAGTCACTGTAAGTATCTCGCAATTTTGGGTGGGAGATAACGAGACTTGCAAAATAGTTTGCGAGTGTGTCATTATATAATTATGTTGTCATTGCATATCGGTCAATGGCATACACGATATAGTAAGTGTGTTGCAAGGAATATATATTGCCTTTTCTTCTGGGGGAAAATCGGTCCATCACCAGCTTGTAAACAGCCGCATCTGCCATCATGTAAATATTAAATTGAAATTGGTTTGACTTGGTAGGCCGAGGTAAACACAAATGTACTCTATCAGCCTAGTGTTTGTATCCAAACGTTTTATATATATACGTGTGTGTGTGCGTGCGTGTGTGTGGTGGTGTGCATGCATGCGTGCGTGCGTGCGTGCGTGCGTGTGTGTGGTGGTATACGTGTGTGCGTGCGTGTGGTATGCGTTCGTACGTGTGTGCGTGCGTGCGTGCGTGTGGTGTGCGTGCGTGTGTGCG